GTTATGTTTTTTATAGAATCCTATGTAAGCAAAGCATCTGAAAAAAATTGAAAAATACAAAAAAAAGGATTAACAAAGACAAAGTTGGTGAGGAGAGAAAAATAAAGCGAAATTATGAACAAAGCAGAGGGTGTGAAACGTAACGAAATTTTTTAACCAAATATTAAGAATAGGACGGTGTATAATGTATTGATGTAATTTTATTATGAAGGAACAAAAAATGCTCACATTTTTTCGAAGGTCAAGTGAATTAAACATAAGCAAACTGTTTGCATAAATGAATGCACGATACAGAACGACAAGAATATTAATTATAGTGCACAATACACATAAATGAATGCACAAAATTTGTTCCGGACAATTACCTTCACGTCCAATTCTTTGCCTATGCCGATAAAGAACATCGTCAGATAGTAATTCCCAGCATTTTTGGAAAACATTTTCAGGCCTGTTCAGTGTGTTACCAAATAACAATAAGGCAAATAGATTTCTCAGATAAGTTGCTGACCCCTAAGAACTTGCCTCCTTAATTGCATCAATGTACTCATTGTCATCATCCAAAAGCCCCAAAGAATAGCAGACATCCTTATATGTAGGAAAAATCACCCCATTGACCGTTCTCAAATCTTCATAACTTGTACAAGCCTTTTGAAAATTAAGTAAAGTTCGGAGATAGGAATCTTCTCCATTATTGGCAGAAAAATGATTTATTCTTCCAATTGAAAATCCTTGTTTTCTGGGATGCCATTCATGCGTACTTTCTTTATATACAAATTGAGTTGGATACTCTGCATAAGTAAGATTCCTACCTTCTGAATATTTTTTATTTGCATCCATCCAAGACTCGAACATTGATTGTCTAGACTTCGCCCTAGTCTTGACATCGATAATTGAAGTCCAATTCCAAGCACTAATAAATAAATAATCAATCCAAAAATTGTTGTAACTAAAAGAGTCACTTACGACATGCCCAAAACACAAGAATAAAATCAAGGCTCACTTTGGGGACTTTGATTCGAAACATTTGCAATTGAAATAACACATAAAAAAATCCAAAAACAAACACCTGTTGCAAATAAGAATAATAAAAAGTTGATTTTCAAAAAATAGGGTTGGTAAAAGCTCACAATTTGTTGCATAAAGTATCCCTTAGTAGCTTCATTTGGAGTTGCATGGAGACCAGGGTTATTAGCAGGGGACTCTTTCGGTTCTGCAGCCATTAAGAATAATCAGAATCGACTCGGTTTCTGCAAAAAAATAAAAAGTAAAGTTGACAACATAGACATACAATACAAGTAACGATATTGAAAGCATTGAGGAAAAGCACGAATTTTGAACCTTTGTTTTGGGGGTGAGTGAGAAATAGAATGGGAGTGAATGAGGGGAAAGGAAAGGGTGGGGCTTGGTGATGAATGGGAGCTGAGAAAGGAGGTGTGAGATGGATCTGAGGGAAGATAAAGATGCCATTTGTAAAGTTGGTATTTATAAGAGTAATTGAGAGAGAGAGCGCGCTTACATACCTTGTGATTTTGAAGGAGATGAGGAAGAGACTCTCTGTGTGTGTGAGAAAGAGAATCAGTTACTGGAGACAATTTCAGTATGAAAATTCCTATTCCATTTTATTATAAATTTAATTTTTTGTTATTAATTAATTAAATAATTAAAAGATATGTGATTTTGTGATCCAGTAATTTAGGTGAAAAGAAAATTGGAAAAACTACTCTTATGTTATATGTGATAAATTTCTCTCCTACACATTCTTCGATAACTGTGCCATCTTTTTTCTTTTTCAAGTGATGAGCCCACAAGTTTATCTCTATGACATGAGATAACTTATCTCCTTTAACATGAGATTAATAAAACCCAACGAAAATTTATGAACCATGTAAATGCACATGAATGTCTCACAACTCAACTGATATGTGTGGTTCGCATGATGATTTTAAGGTTAAATTGATGTTTTAAAACTACACTGATGTTGAATTGATGAGATTTTTAGTCATAATGTAATTAAGTTTTTTAGTAGATATAATTCAATTAATTTATAACTAGTTAAATTTGTGATTAGATTATTATTAGGGATATGATATTATTATTACCAAATAATGTTATTATCAATGTCATTACCGTATCTTAACCGTTGATTTCTGTCAATTAAGGGTTATTATTTTCACAAATCAAATTAATTAATTAATTATTAATTCGTAATAAATGATAACTGTTAATTGACAAAAATCAACGGTTAAGATTTAATAGTAATATTGGTAATAATAATATTATATCCCTTATTATTAAACTTGATAATATTCGAATTAAATACCTAACTATTCACAAATTGATCCAATTTAATCCTTTAAAACATTACCTCAAATTCCTTTCGAATTCTCTGTTTTTTTTTTTTTTTTGAATAATGGAAGAAAACGTGACTCTTGTATAAGTGGGCCGATTTTTGTGCAAAGCACCCGGGGCTCCTTGGCATTTCTCTTAAATGAATTATGCTCTTATGTTATAATTATCTTAAATATGATTAGGGTAATGCTAAGAATAGGTTAATGATATAAATGCATGAGTTTCTTGTTTTTATTTATATATTTTCTAACTTATTTAAATGATTCATTTCAGAAATCTCAACAACAACAATAAGAATCATATAATAATAATGGGGACAATTCGCCTATTGAACATAAGTTGGTTTTTTTTTTTTTTTTTTGTGCTAGGATATTTTTAATCATTCTTCATAAGAATTTTATTTAGAGTAGTGAAAACCCTTTTTTTTCGTTTTTAGTGAAATTTGGAGGAATCTTCACAGGTTTGACCATTTTGTTAGGTTGGCAATACGGGCCAATCCGCATGTAACCCGAAAAAAATGAGCTGGGTTAGGATTGGCTCAAAAAAAAATGAGTCAAAAAATCCAATCCAACCCGACCCAAATCGGGTTAGGGTTGGCTCGTGAGTTGGTTCCAAAATATGGCTCGTGAGTTGGCTTGAAAAAATAGCTTGCGGGTTGGCTCGAAAATTGGCTCGCGGGTTGGTTCATTTTCAGCCTATTTAAATGAACATGTAGTATTAATTCACCAGTGGCTTCTATCAGTTTAAACAAAAGGTTACAAAATGAGAAATAAAAGCAAAATATTCTAGTTTCGAATTTTCTTCACAACAAATTTGCACCAATATCATGAAACAATGAGAACCATTTGCTACTAAGTGGGTAAGATATTTGAACCAAATAGAGCCAGCACAACCAAACAATATAAAAATTGTAGGGATGTGAGAAGATTAGAGAAGGAAGAAAGATGACGACAACATGTGTGGATTTTGTCCAGTTTTGTATACTAATTTTTTTATTTTTTAAAAAAAAAAAACTCAACCCGCGAGCTGGCCCGTTTGACTCTCGGGTTGGCTCATTTTTTTTTCTAGCTGGCTCGGGTTGGGTTGACTCGGATTGACAACTCATTTTTATCAATCCAACCCGACTCATTTTTGACAGGTTACGAGCAAACCCTAAATATGTAGAAAAGTATCCATCAAACAATTTCTGTTTACATAAATATGTAGAAAAGTATGACCATTTCACAAGAGTTATTTTCTTAAAATTTGAACTCGTTTTAAGAAAGGTTATTTACCAGTTACCACATTGAACCACCATTTTTAGGTGGTGCCTCTACTAATAATACATATTCACTAGATCAAATTACTTAAATTACATAGAATTAACCATAAAAAGTGGTAGAATAATTAAGTTTTTTTTTCTAATTTAGATAGGTGATAGCATATTAGCAGCATTATAACGAATAAAGTTTTCAAATTTTGCTGTAAATAAAGACTTGGGCATTTTTTTTGTCAAATTGATAATTAATACTTAAGGGCGTTTAGTTCAAGTATTCCTATGAGATAGCTAGACATAGTAAGTGGCATTTTTTTCTTCATCATGCTTCGTTCACGTTTTTTAAAAATTTAACAAGCAAACTTATTTGTCCATCCTTTATCAATTGTAAGGAAAAACAACAAACAAAAGATAAAAAATGCCACTTATAATATGGTATTGTAAGATGACGAGGTAAATTGATAAAAGAAACGAAATATGTGACTGATATATCTTTTCTAATCTAACCTCATAATATTGTATATCTCTATCAAGGTTACTTTTGTCAATTTTTAAAATTTAAAAAGTGTTAGTTGTACCATTTTATATTACTTTCTTATTAATATTTTACCTTCAATCAAATATAGACTTACAAAATTTTAATCAATTTATCCGATATATTTCATCGAATCAATTTTTTTTTTCAACTTTATTAGCAAATTTATTTTCTTACAATTTCTTCAATAATTATATTTATCTAATAAAAAAAATTCTCTTATATCAAAGGTTACATAAGAAGTTATACGGTGTCATGTCAACATGTTGCCCATGGGCACTTTTATGCTTTCTGACCATGATTTGATAGCTCAAAAGTAATGGAGCTATCAACAATAATGGGAAATGTATTCAAGTGCATTCAGGCATGTATTTGATAGCTCAAAACTTAATGTTTTTTTCCTTTTTTTTTCCTTTCTTTTTTTGCTATTATGTTTGCGAAAGAATTAACTAATCCTAAAAGCTTATGCTATATGAAGCTAGTAAGCTTAAATAATGGTTCCGATATATTTGTTTAAAAACTCCTCACAAGAATGGCTTAATTTTTTGTTCATCATTCTTCGTCATTTTTTATTTTACATGTATTATCTTGGCTTTCTTGTAGTGTTTAACCTAAAAAAACTTGCATAGAGTACTTCTCTTATTATCACTTTTTTATTTTCAATGGGCTTTGAAGCAGCATGGCTTAACATCTTTTGAAAAATTTACATTTTAGTCTTTTCAACCAAGCTTTAAAAAACAATGCAAGCATGAAACAAGTTGTGATCAGTGCAAGTATTAACAATGGATTAACATGCATATCAAACTCATATTGTGGACCTTATGAGGTTGTCTATTAAAATACACATCAAATTAAGCACGCCTGTTATTTCTAACAAGAAAATAATAATAATAATAATAATAATCCTATCTTTGTCTGCTTATCATAGTCAAAGCATTAAATACCATCCACTTGCAAGTAACTCCATTGCCACAAATCTTGTACTCATCAAACTCTCATCAACTTAACTTTCGTGTCTAATTAAACACCACCTAACTCACAATTCACAAACCAAAACCAAAAACCACTTTCACTTTATTCATTCTATCACCGTATACACATTTAAATGGAGAGATCAGGGTACGGTCGTGATGAAATCTACAGGTCTCTAAGACCTTCCCTCGTACTTCCCGAAGACCCCAACATCTCCCTCGTATCATTCCTCTTCGAAAGTGTATCCTCTTTTCCCAACAAACACGCCCTTATCGACGCCGATTCCTCCGAAACACTCTCTTTCGCGCAACTCAAATCCCAAGTCGCCAAGCTCGCCCGTTGTTTCCTCCACCTTGGCATAAACAAAAACGACGTCGTCCTCTTGCTCGCACCCAACACCATTCACTTCCCCATATGCTTCCTCGCCGCAACAGCCATCGGCGCCGTCGTCTCCACCGCCAACCCTGTTTACACCGTCTTCGAGCTCTCCAAACAAGTCAACGACTCCAACCCCAAGCTCGTCATCACTGTCCCTGAATTATGCGACAAAGTGAAGGGTCTCAACCTTAAAACGATGATTCTCGGTTCCGAGAGTTTCAACGCGTTGTTGGAGGTGTCAGGGTCGGAAACAGAGTTGCCGGAAAACGACGTGAAGCAGGGTGATACGGCAGCGCTTTTGTACTCGTCGGGGACCACGGGGTTGAGCAAGGGCGTGGTGCTCACGCACGGGAACTTCATCGCGGCGTCGCTCATGGTTGGCATGGACGACGATTTGGCCGGAGAATTCGACCACGTGTTCCTTTGCGTTTTGCCGATGTTTCATGTCTTTGCGCTCGCGATTATCTTGTACGCGCAGCTCCGGCGAGGGTGTACGGTGGTGTCGTTGAGGAGGTTCGAGTTGGAGGCATTTCTGAAGGCGATTGAGAAGCATAAGGTGACGAGCCTGTGGGTTGTGCCTCCCATAGTGCTTGCTCTGGCGAAACAGAGTGTGGTTAGTAACTATGATCTTTCATCGTTGAAGCGTATTAGTTCTGGTGCTGCTCCTCTTCGCAAAGAATTGATGGAAGAGTGTGCAAGACGTTTCCCTCATGCTATAGTTTATCAGGTTAGTATTCAATGCCACCCATAATTCTGTGATTCATGTTACTTATCCCGGACAGACATTGTCAATATGGTTGGCCTTATCACCATGTGAAGTCAATACAAGTTACTATCACCCTTTTTAAAGACTTAAAAAGTAATGCTAACTAAAATAGGGGAAATTGCGAATTATTGTAAGGGAAAGGTTATACTTACTACTTTTTTCTTACTATCAAATTTTAACTGTTGATTTTCGTCAATTTAACGTTATAATTTATTAGAATTAATAACTAGTTAATAAATATGATCCAATAAATTATAAGAGTTGGATTGACAGAAATCAAATGTTAAGATTTGGTAGTAACAAGTAGTAAGAAAAAAAGGTAGTAACTATAACCTCTTCCTTATTTTAAAAGACATTTTAAGTGAGAGAAAGAGATAAATAATGAGATAAAGTGAGAGAGAAAAGTTTTAAAAGTGTGAGTCTATTTCTTTGTGAGAGTGAAAAAACTTGACTATGTCATTTAAAATGATACACGATTTTTCTTCAAGAGGGTGTTTGATACAATAGATATATTTTTTTACCGAGAAAAAAAGATTTCTAAGAATATGATGGTAAATATTTTTGCCCAGGTAAGTTATAAAAAAATGTTTGGTATATGAAAATTGTACCGGAAAAGTTGAATTAATTTTATGTTGTGTTTGATTGATAATAAAATATTGATGGAATTTTGAAACAAAATGACTAAATTACTCTTCCATTTTAAATCTTGAATATCTTTTCTATAGCAAACATTCGTTTGTAAATGTTTGTAAATATCTTTTCTATCAGATTTTTAAGACATCTGCATATCTTATCTCAAGGCAATTTTGTCTAGAAAATGTAAAACGTTTTTTACCGTTGGCGGATAAAAAACAATACCACGGCTCAAATGGATTTTTTTTTTGCTAATATAAAATTGAAAAACAGATTCATGGGGATAAAATTATACCAGCATTTTTATCAGATTCTTTGTATCAAACATAGTAAACAAATATTTCACACCCCACTTTTCCAAAAATTCTATTACATTCTCGGTACCAAACACCCCTAAAAACAACATAAATGCCCTTAAGTTCATGTGCATATAATTTTTAACCTAGTGTAATATAAATTTACCCCTATTCATTTTCATTATTCTTCATGCACCAAAAAAATTTGAAAAGTTCTTCAGATCTGACTTTGTATCAACTAACTACTATGTTGCCTTGAATAAAGATAGAGAAGGATGAGGATACGGCCGGAGGAAAAATTCTGAAACTGGGTTATGCCCTTTTTCCCATTCCTTGTCTCTTTCATATACCCCGGCCCACAAAATAAAGGAAATGACAATAATACCATCACAGGCTATTGCATATACTCAAGGACCCCTATTCAGCCCAATAACTATAATTGATAATCCTTGACCCCACATGCTTAGAGCCTTTTGAATCCTTTGTTTTATAACTTTAGCTTAAAAATCATTTCTAACTTATAATAGCCTGTGACCCTCACAAAATTTTCTCGCTCCACCATTGCACAAGATGAGTATGACATTTTCCTTATTAGTGTATTAAGCATGAATTATGATATGGGAAACTTGATATCAAGTGTTTCCACTAGCTCAAAAGTTTTAGCTCATGAGGTGCAACTTTACTTTATAAGTTTCTCAAAATTTGCGTATTTTTTGCTGTGGTGTCAGGGCTATGGTATGACAGAAACTTGTGGCATTGTTTCTGTGGAGAATCCAAGAATAGGGATTCGTCATAGTGGCTCAGCAGGAATTCTGGCTTCAGGGGTCGAAGCTCAAATAGTGTGTGTGGATACACATAAGCCCCTCCCTCCTAGACAGTTAGGGGAGATATGGGTACGGGGTCCTAACATGATGCAAGGTACGTAGAGTGACATGCCCTGTAGCTTTTTATGCTTATGCATAAGATTCTTAAAGAAAAAATTGTTGTGCGGCTGGATTCATAAAAACACCCAAGTCCTTTTCCAACAGAGGACAATCACATTGTAGTTTTCTTGTTATGCTTCTTGGAAGATACTAAGAAAGAAACTTGCATTTTTCTTTTCTGCTTGATGTCCCTCTCTAATATTTCTGGTCAAGACTCTCAGTATATTTGTAACTTCTCTGCCGATGCAACTGCTCCTCGTAGAGTTAATAATTAAAATGGAACAACTTTTCCATACACTGTTAGTGCTCCTTCTTCATGCTTATGTTTTCCGTTGGGATGTGATGTGAGGGGTCAACATGCTTTTACTTTATATGAATTTTTGCATTAATTTGTAGTCTGTAGGCTTTCCTAAGATGAAACGTAGTTCAACGGTTACAAAAAAATTTCAGGTTATTATAACAATCCACAGGCCACAAGATTGACTATAGATGAAAAGGGGTGGGTACACACAGGAGATCTTGGATATTTTGATGAGGATGGGCAACTTTATGTTGTTGATCGTATCAAAGAACTGATCAAGTATAAAGGTTTTCAGGTATGTAATCCAAATTCAATGTCATTAATGAAAGTAAATTTGACCGGCATGCAATGTTGTATAAATGGTCATGAATAAGAAGTTGGAAGACTGGTGTCTTTTCATCCCTCTTCGTTTCCGAATAATCGCGCCTTTCCCGCACGTCTCCGTCACACCTTTCATCTCTTATAAATATCACTGTTCAATAAATTCAAATAAGTTTTTTCCTGACTCCTTACCAAGATTAACCCTTACACACTGCCTTTGTCTACAATTGATCAAGCATTTGTTGTGTCCGCCGGTGTTGTTTTTCTGTTCTATTTTGGAAGGTATTTGTCCATGAAGCTTACACACCATTGAGGGGGCAAAATTGCTTTAAGGACACAATATTCAATATTGGGTTCGGGTTTGATTTTATACAATTTTTATGTCGAGTATATTGCATTCTATTCTATGCAATTTTGTGTTTTCATTGATATTATCATAACCAACAACACAAATTTTTGGACTACTACCAATGACATGCAATACATTGTTAGTCATATATCTGAAATCTTAACCAAATCCTTGTTGGTCTCGGGTTTAAACGAGTGTGAAGAAGATAGTGTTGTGTTGGGGTGCATTGATTAAACTAATGTTCCATGCCCCAAATTGTTAATGTGTCAAGTATAGTAATTTCAGTACATTATAAATCGTGTGCTGCTCTGTTTCGATAATTATTTGTCTATAACCCTTGTGATTATAGGTGCTAATGAATATTTATGATCAAGAGTTTAGTCTTACTGAATTATGTGCTGTTTTTCTCATTGTTGTAACTAGGTTGCACCAGCAGAACTTGAAGGGCTTCTAGTTTCTCACCCTGAAATAGTAGAGGCTGTTGTCATCCCGTACGTATCACATACATTATCTGTAGTTTTAATTTTACACACATCTTATGTTATCTGTTATAGGGAATTCATAGTTGAATTACTTCCTTTCTGTAGATATCCGGATGATGAGGCTGGTGAGGTTCCAATTGCCTATGTTGTTCGTTCACTTAACAGTTCGCTGACCGAAGAAGAAGTTCAGAAGTTTATTGCTAATCAGGTAAGAAAAAATATAAACAACGAACTTGTTCTTTGACTTACACTCAAAACAGAGAAATTTTGTCTTGTCAATGTACAACTCAAATGGACTGAAAATTTAGTTGTGAAATTTTATTTTTCTTAGAAAAAATAATGTGCCTGCTTTTATAGAAAATTGCTTCTCTTCCTGTGGTTCTCAGTGTTTGAGCTTTCTCCTCTACAAATACTTGTTTTTCAGATGAGCATAAACACCAAAATTTACTAGGTACTAGATACTGAGTTGTATAATCTTGTTTGCGTGCTTTAAACTATAATGCTTGAATGAAGCATTTGCTTTCTATATACTAGTTTTCTCAGTTGATCAATTGATCACATTTGGTCTATGTGCCTTTGTCAGTTGTTACTCATTTTTATGCTTGTTTACAGGTTGCACCTTTCAAAAGATTGCGAAGGGTGACATTCATCACAACTGTTCCTAAGACAGCTTCAGGACAACTTCTCAGAAGAGAGTTTATTACAAAAGCACGATCCAAAATATAAGATATTACAATTTTTTTGGGTCAATTTATGTTATAAAATGCATCCTGTAGGATTTAGCAGATATAGACAATCAAGTTCAAATTTAAAACAAGATAACAATCCCTCCAGATTATAGTAGCAATGCTTGGTGCCTAAGCCCAAGTAAATTTCAACAATTTCCTCTAGTAAAAAAAGAATCAACTATTTCCTGGTGTTTGTGGAATTGATGCAGACTCCAATTCAAAGAATCTCATAGTATTAGAGGGGATTACTTAGGTGCTCCTTTTTTTTCAAGGGTATAGGACCTTAAAGTGAATTTTCAATCATTTATTGTTTGTTAATTGTATTCAACAAATTTTATGACATTTAGCTCTATTTACTATTTTGAGTACATATGCTTAAATAGTTGTTTAAAAAATTAATGAATAGTCTCGCTTGGGAAAAAAAAAAAACTATATTTAATTAAATTATTCTTTATCAATGTCCTCAAATAATTATTTCATCAATATCTTCGTTTATTTTACTAAAGAGGAATATTAGCCGATAATAATAAAGTTGGAAAAATTAATTTGTCTTTTTTAATTTTCTAAAAAGACAAATAGCTAGAGTGAAAAGAAATTCGTCTTCTTATAAGGCACTTATTTGTACCAGAGGGAGTAACGACAAATAAATATTATATTTAGTAAATAACAACAAATACAAATTTAAACTATATGGAAAAAGAATTTGGGTTACAAAATACTTTTTATTCTTTTTGGTTTATCTAGTCTTTTTAGAAACGTGTTTTTCTTTCTTCTTATTTATTTATTTCGGAATCAATAAAATATTAATTTTTTCCTAACTTTATTACTTTGAACATTAATGACTTAGAGAAAAGATCCATAGAATGATAATAATAACTTAAGTGTTTGAATGAACTTAATTCAATTAAATGAAGTTGCTTTGTTTATACTGATAGCCATTCAAAGACTTAAAAAAATTTTATGCAATAATAAATTGAAAGACGGATTAAAAAGAACAAGGAAATAATGATTAATTAGAACCTCCATTTTAAAATATAATGTACAAAAGTTTTGTATATGTTTTCAGAAAAAATTTAAATACCCTTAATTCTTAAAAATATAACTACGTTTTATAAAACTACTCTCTTATTTTATTAATATTTTATCAGTACAATTAGTAAAAATATTAGGAGATAATGGTAACATTTAACAATATTACTCTCTTATAATTAAATACCCATAATTTTTCAAAATATAACTACTTTTTATCAAATTACTCTCTTATTTTATTATTATTTTCTCATTACAATCAGTAAAAATATTAAGAGACAATGGTTACATTTAAAAATAGTTAATATCTTCATTCTTATTATTAAATAGTAATACCCTTAATTTTTAAAATATAACTAAGTTTTATACAATTACTCTCTTATTTTATAATATTTTCTCATTTCACTAATTAGTAAAAATATTAAGAGACAATGGTAACGTTTTAAAAAAATTAATGTCTTTTAATTTTATGAAAAAATATAAAATGAAACAAAACCTCTTTTAAAACTTCCTAATATTAGAAATATCATAATTAATCGATAAATAATTACCAAATTAGTGATATTGCAGGAGTTTATTCGTTTATGCATCCAACTATTTACAAGCGTCCTCTATATTGATTGTAACTTGTAAGTTAAAACACTTCCTACGGTGATAATTTTTCCTGCAAACCTGACGATATTGAATTAGAAATCGTTGGTGAGGCTCTCTCATAGACCAATATTCACCGTCTATAATGAATTAGGGTACTAATTCTTGAAAGTGATATAATTTCTAATGTATTCTTTTATTAAACACATAACTTTTTTATTGAAAATTACCTGTCATTTCTTTTTATTTTAAATTTTTTATACATTTAATATTTATAATTTACTCTCAGCTTCCTTTTTTTATACATGAAGAAATTCTAAAACAAAGTTACTTATAATTTAAGAAATTATCGATGGAAGCTGAGAGTGTCATAACCTATTAAAAAAAATTAAACAAGGAAAAGATAAAAAAAAAAAAAAACCTATTAAAAACCTCATTTTTTAATAGGTTTTTTTTTTTTTATCAATTCCTTGTTTAACTTTTTTTGGTTATCAAATTTTCATAGACAAGGTTCAATTATTGATGGAATTTATCTACACATGAGATATTCTCAAGGAATTTTATTTCTATATATTAAATTAGGGTACGTTTTTATTAAAAGTAATTTAATTTTTACTCTTTTTAAAAAAATTACATACATCATTCTTAACTTTTTTCTTTTAAATTTAAATCCTTTTAAAATAAACAATTTATATCCTCTTTGAAATTTTAAATATTTTTCCATCTAATTAATATTTTTGAAATTTATTTAAATTAAATATACATTTTTTATTATAATTTTAGATTTTTTTAGTTTATATTATTTAACTTTCATTTAAATTTAAAAATATTCATATCAAATATTAGATATGTAAAGCACAATTACGTCATTTTGTCATATAATCAAAGGTGGATCCAAAGAAGGGGTGAGGATTGGTGGACTCCTCTCGCTAAACTTTGATTTTTTTTTTTTTATATATATATTATATAAAATGATATATTTATAATAATAGTAGATTGTTGGTGCTAATAGTTAGCATCTTTCCCTTAAAAAAATATTGGAACTAGTTAGCTTTTCTATGAATTTTAATAGTTAGCTTTTCCTATTAATTTTAATAGTCACCGGAGATAAGTTATTTCCGGTGACTCCCAAAATTATGTTATTTTGAATTAATGATGGGTATTTTCATAATTTTAGGAAAATTAATGATGGGTGTTTCAGTAAAATTCATATGATAAAAGATAAATAAAATTATAAAAACACCCTTCATTAATTCAAAACAATGTAGTTTTGGGGCTCACTGAGAAATACTTTACCCTTTTAATAATCAGAAAAATATTTCTACAGTTACTGCAGATAAGTTATCTGCATTTATTTTCAAAACGACGTCGTTTTGGAATCGAAAGATTAAAAAATTATAATTATAAAGACTAAAATAACCCTAAAATAAATTAAAATTACAAAAACACCATGATTTCCGTCCCAAAATGATGTTGTATTGGGTTTACTGCAGATAAGTTATCTACAATAACTGCAGAAAAAGCGAACCCTTTAATAATACTTGTAATTTTGATATTTTATTTTCATCCCCCATCGTAAAACATCATGAGTTAGTCATTACATATAACTAGTATATTACCCGTGCGATGCACGAGGGAAAAAGATCAAAAATTTTGTCGTCTGCCGTGGTTGGTTAATCGCACTGCAAACCTTATACTTACAAAAAACTGTGTTGCTATTTTGTTCTATATTTCAGGTGGAAAAAATTATAGCATTGACACAGAACTTTGCAAATATCAATCACAAAAAAAAATCTGCTATTAAGAGGGATAATTAATTTTGCATACAACTACATCATAATACGTTATAATACACCATGTTAACATGATGAAGGGATATAAAAAGAAAAATGCATACAAATCATTGCTAACTATAACATTTATCAACAAAATCAAGGTAACAATAACACCAAGCAAATTTGGATTTAAAAGATCAGCTTTTACCTATAATATGAAAATGATATTCATTCAGTGTCATTTCGTAGCAATCATTAGAGGGATGAGTTCAACACTTACTAAATATGTCAATTTCCTGTGTGATTTTCGTTCCTTGTGCCTATAATACAGAGGACAAAAACTCATTAAATAAGTAACATTAATATGTTAACACCCAAAAGGCATAGTATCAGAAAAAAAAAGATTGAAATCACATTTAAAAATAATAACACTAATCTTTGAGATAGACTTTCATTTATTTCAATCACATTTAAAAAATAATAATAAATAATTATTATTTGCAAGGATTTGTGTCGTTAGTATTTGGAATTTTACAAATTTGTATTTAAATAAATTAAAATCAGATTTAGGAATTTAATTAAAAAAGAAAAAGGATGAAATTTTAATTAAATTATAAAAATGTGTTGGTGGGTCGGCCCTCCGGGCCGAGTCCAGTTTGCCACCTCTAACTATCAGCATGTAAAAGGTTTTTATATTTATCCACAAAAAAACATTTTTATAGTTGCGTCTAGGTTTTTATATTTTATCTCAGATATGAACTTTCAATTACTACAATCAGATTCATAAAATAATAATAAATAATTATTATTTTTTGCAAGGATTAGTGTCGTTAGTCTTAGGAATTTCACAAATTTATATTTACAAAAATTGAAATCAGATTTAGGAATTTAATTATAAAAAAAGAAGGATAAAATTTCAATTGAATTATAAAAATATATTAGCGGGCCGAGCCTAAATTTTCACCTCTAACTTTCAGCATTTTATATAAATATTTTTGTGTGTGCAAGGATTAGTGTCGTTAGTCTTTGGAATTTCACAAATTTGTATTTACAAAAATTGAAATCAGATTTAGTAATTTAATTATAAAAGAAGAAGGATAAAATTTCAATTAAATTATAAAAATATATTGGTGGGACGGCCTTCCAGGCTGAGCCCAGTTTTTCACCTCTAACTGACAGCATTTTATATAAATAATTATTTTTTGCAAGTATTTGTGTCTTGCGGAGGGGGCTGAACCTTTAGCCATCACTGATCCCCCAAACTCCGGATTAGTCCCATAGCCGGCTCAAAGAGTCGAAGCTCGTGGGGATACCGGAGGGAGCCAACTCGCCTCAAAGAGGTAATTAGGGTTGGGTAACTCCAAAAAAATAAAATTACACTCTTGCAATAAAAAAATGAAAGTTTAATTTCTTTCTTATGTATTAAATTAAAATTTTCATTTTTCTAATTCTTAAATTTTAATAATTTTTTTTTACAGAATGACAGACGTCATTTTTTATTTAAATTTAAATTTAAATTTTTTTACATTAATTATACATACTTTTTAATATATTTTTTCAATTTTAATTTATGATTTTTATATATTTTTTTAATTGGATATACATATATATTTAAAATGTTTATGTTAAATATTTTTTTAAACAAATACAAGTATATTTTTTTAATTGGTTATACATGTATATTTAAAAATTTTATGTTAAAATTTTATTTTATTTTTTGTAAAGTATAAATTATGCCAGTTCTTATTTTTTCTTTTAAATTTGAAATTTTCAATGATTTTTATCGACTATAAATGTATTTTTATAATTTTAAATATTTTATTGTTTAATCTATAATTTTCTATTAAATTCAAATTTATTATATATATCTTTTTCCACTGCATAAATATT